GTTCCCAATAGATCCATTAGAGAAAAGTAAAAGAAGGTAAACCCCTGTGCTGCATAACTTGGAACATGTTCTTAGAACGTACACAGGAGAAATTATTTAAAATGGAATGTGAAAAGTCTGCATATTTTGTTTTAATAAATATAGAGAAGTAATTTTCTATTCACATTAATTTGCCAATTCAAAAGTTTGCCAATTGTTTAAGAAATTTAGTGTTGTCATAAGTGAAAATTGTTCCATTATTTTAATTTTTACTTATAAATTACTAAATCAAGATTTCATGTTTTTATTGGACTTTGTGAATACTTGTTTATCTCCCTTCTTTGTTTTTAGTGGTTTATTGGTATTTTCTCAGAAATATAGGTATTCTCTATGTGTGTGCCTCTGTACATGTGTATGTGTCTGTCTATAAGGAAATATGCTCTGGTTAGGTTAAAAAAAGGATGGTAGGCTGGCAGATTTAGAGATACCTGGTTATTTTTCAAATATAGATTATATTTTTAATTCCTGAACAGGATGGGTTTTCCCCTATTTTATTAAAAAATTCATCTAATAATAGATTGTTTCAGTGATAAAATAAACTTTATTTCAACCTAGATAGTAGGTTTACCTAGTATGCTTATATTTTTCTACAATGTACCTATGAGTCTTGTCTGAAACAATTAGATTGGATTTGGAAATAGTTGCTATCACCTTTGTAAACAAGTCAAACCCTGGCCAAAGAGCCAAGTGACCTATGTAAAACTGAATTCTCATCATTCTAAAGATAGATACTGAGAAAGAATTAGTACAAATGTAGTCAGTTCTACTTTTGTGTTGCACCATAGCTATATTTGGCTTGGAGTCATTGTTATGTAGGTTCCTTTTAATCTTGTCCTTTGCTGACATTTTATAATGTTGATGTTTTTAAAAATTTGTTCCAATCTGGTAGATTTGAAGTGGTATGCCATTATATAATAAAAACTGTTCCTAACTACAGTGAAACTGACCATCTTTGCATATATTAATCATACTTTGTATCTTTCAGAGCAGCCCCACCTTGAATCCTTGTTCCATGGCAGACTCCAAAAGGTTGGGTGGTCATCCTGTCAGTTGCTTATTCAGTTTCCTCTGCAGTCCATATACTTTGCTGGGTATTTGTGTAGGACATAAACATTTCTTTTTCTTTTTTTTTTAATTCTGAGAGGCCTAGTCAACTTATTGCCATTTTACAAAGACCAATTATCCTGTATCCCATTAGATCCTGGCATTCAACACAGTGAAAATCAGATGGGCTGCTTGGAGTCCTGATCACTGGCTTCACTTTTAATATTTTTCCCACTTTCTTGCAAGGTCACCTCTAGCACAGCAGAGGAACATCTGGAAACAGAATCAGTAATTTGTACAGATCTATCTGCAAACCAGTTCAAGATTTTTTCTGTCATCCTAACTTGTCCTAGGTAAGTGAGCCCATCTCTTTTCTGAGAGTTACCCCATGTACATGACACACTACGAGTATTAACAGATTATTCTTTCATAATTCTGATGGTCAAAAGTACAAAATAAATATCACTAGACTGAAATGAAGGTTTTGTAATGACCATACTCCTTTCGGAAGGTCTAGGGGAGAATCCTCTCCTTGTTTCTTCCAATGCCTGGTGGCTGTAGCATTCTTTGGCTTGTGGGTGAGTCACTAATTTTTAAGTCCAGTATCTTTGAATCTCTCTTTTCCATCTTCACATTCTTTACCCTTTATATCTCGAAAGAATTTTCAATATTTTTTCAATGCTTTTTTCTACATTATCAAGATAATCTTCTGGTTTTATCTTTTATTTTATTAAGGGTATATTGCATTTACTGACTTTCATTTATCGTAGTGTCCTGGTATTTCAGAGATAAATCCCACCAGGTCATGGTGTATTATTCTTTAAATATGCTAGTGAATTCCATTTTCTAGTATTTTGGGGGGATGTTTACACCAATATTAATTATAGATATTGTTCAGTAGTTTCATTTTGTGTAGTATCCTTGTCTTGTACTTGAGATTATGATAAAGCTAGTCTGTATATGTTAAATGTCTTATTTTTTAAGTAGGGGAAATGCAAAGCCTGCCTGGAAAGTATCCAGCCATTGTTAATACTATCTTCATAGTATGTGGCTAGATACTTTTCAAACTGCCTCATATTTTGAAATTGCTTCCCTTCCCCCACTTAGTCTGACTTAGGCTTTACTTACAACAAATCATCCTATTAAAATAGAGATAATTAGTTGTGCTAAAGAATGAATCAGTGAACACTATGATCATGGGTATTTAATAATTTTATACTCTGGCCTGCTGATGTATTTAAAAATTGAGTAATGTTTTATCAAAAACATTTATTTTTGTCATATTTTAAAAATAAAATTAAATGAAAAATGTAGGAGTTAAGGTAGAGAATTGAAGATAAGGTTGGCAATAATGGATTTTGTGACATCTATAATAAATTGAAACTATAGTCACTTCTTAGAATAATTAATGACAAATTACCGCAATTATCTGTTGATAATGCTACTACGAGTTTGAAGTTTTCCATCTAAATAGAAGTGACATAAAAAGAATATGAAAAGAGATATAATGTTAAGATTTAGCAACTTAGTCTACAAGGGAGTCTTAGCCATCTAAGGCACACTGAGAACTTAAGTTGGCAAAAAAAGTGACCCACATGGGTGGTGAAGTCATTTTCCCCATATCTTATAGAATATGAACACAGCTTCTCAGAGTCACTTACAATGGACAAACTAAATGACAATCTTTAGAATTCTACTTTGTCCTTGCAATAAGAGCCCAGTGTCTCCTGTTTGGGGAGGTGTCTGATGAGATAATCTGATTTCAAATTAGCCTGTATGTGAGAATTTCCTGTGCAGACCTTAACTGACACAATGATGAGAAATCTACTTTTTCCACTCTTGTGGCACTCTGAGCCTTTGTAGGGCAGTCTGTGAAGATCACAGACATTGTTTGTTCGTGTCCAGAACTGATACCTTTACTTTTCACCTTTTATTTCTCAGCTTCCTTGAGTCTTTTTCTGAGAGCAGCCTGGGCTCTGCACCACAGGACCTTATGGATGCAGAAGGTATGTGTTATGACCCTCTATCTGTCAACTACCCTTCCTTATTTAGTGGAAGATTCCAAGTACTAGGTGTGATGGAATGGAGGCAGTTATTATGTTGAAAAATCAGAGTAGAAATTAATTTCCTTATTTGAATAATTCAGGTTAAAAATCTAAAGTTGGAAATATGTTGGAGGATTTCCCAAGTTTGCAGATTGTTGCCTGTGGAGACATCGTCACGACATGGGTTGGTTAGCAAACATAATTTAAAGGAAATCCCTAAACATCTTCACAGTGAACAGTTATCTTTGGATTAGCCATCATTACATTAACACCTAATAATAATATAATAACTTATATTTAGTTTTCCCACCATCAAAGATTATTAAAAGAAAATACTTTAATGATGAAAGCCAAACATAATTCTTCAGACACTTGTATTAAAAGAAAGCACTTTTTATTTTTAATTAAAATAAGGATGGGGTAATTACACGCAATGCAGAACTTAAAAAAGACTTTAAAAAATTTATCAAATATTGCAGGAAAACACACCACACTGATATAAGCAATTTGTGTAATGATTTATTTTCCATGGTTTTACTGCCATGAATCAGAATCAATAAAATAAACATTGTGAATAAAATATCTACCTAAGTAATTTTCATAGAGAACCTAAGTACCAGCTTGAGTGGTAGTTGTTTTACATCCAGTATATTTTGTATGATCTTATTCCCATTTTAGATTAAGAGGTCAGGTTATTAGATACTAACTATCTAAGTAACTTTTTAAAGGTGATG